TGCTTTGGGTAATTGTCCTGTTTTCATCACCCATCCTCTGCGGAGCTTCAGTTGGCAGACAGATGGTCGTACGTTTTCCTGCAAAATGTTTGAAAACTCTGGAATTCATTTTCATCAATGACAACAATCCGTCCAGGCCCTGAGGCAGCAAAGCAGCCCCATTCTCCCTCCGCCATGTTTTACAGTGGGGATGAGGTTTTTGACATGTGCCTTTGGCCAGCCACATATAGTGTTGTGCCTTAATCTGCATCTGTCCACAGTATATTTTGCCATTAGTGCTGTGGAACCAGGTGCTCTTTTGCAAACTTCAAATGTACTGCAATATTCTTTTTGGACAGCAATGGCTTCCTCCGTGGTGTCCTCATGTACTTAATTCTTGTTTAATGTTTTCCTTATTGTAGATGTGTCAACAAAAATGTTAGCATGTGCCAGAGATTTCTGTAGGTCTTTAGCTGACACTCTGGGATTCTTCTTTACCTCATGCAGCATTCTGCGCTGTGCTCTTGCAGTCATTTTTACAGGATGACCACACCTAGGGAAGTACAACATGCTAAACTTTCTCCATTTGTAGACAGTCTGTCTTTGGACACATGAACATCAAGGCTTTGGAGATACTGTTGTAACTTCATGGCAGGTCAACAATTCTTGAGTAGTGTTCCTCTTTAAATCACATATGGAACAGTGCTTCACACCAATGCTCAAAACGGTGTGTGTTTTTTTTTAAGGTGCAGGACAGCTGTTTAAAAGTATCATCACACTGAATTCAAGGTGCATCTTTGGCTCCAATTACTTAACTTAAGCTAGGGCCTCACATACTTTTTCCTCCTTGCACTGTGAATGTTTACATGTTATGTGCAATTAAACCATAGGCAACATCTAATGTTTGTGTAGTATATGTTCAGCAGACTGTGTTATTCTATTGGGACGGCACGGGTGCGCAAAATCATATAAGGGGTATATATATATATATATATATATATATATATATATATATATATATAGGGGGGGGAGAGAACTGTTTGTGTACAAAACAGTTCTCTCCCATCAGCTCCTGCACACTGCTTTGCATGGCTGTGGCCATGCAAAGCAGTGTGCTTACAGTGAAGCACACACACAGCCCCTAGTAAAACAGCACACTGTTATCCCTTTGATCACCCCAGATGTTAACCTCTTCCTGCCCAGTGCCATTAGTACAGTGTCAGTGCTTTTTATTAGCACTGATCACTGCATTGGCGTCACTGGGGATGTCAATGACACCAAGTCAGTTCCCACCAGTGTTAGAATACTCGCGGCAGTCCCGCTATAAGTCACTGATCGCAGCCATTACTAGTAAAAATAAAAAATAAATCCCAGTATATATACCGCCATTTGTAAATGCTATAACTTTCACGTAATTAATTTAAACGTATTACACGTTTTTAGCAAAGACATGTAGCAGAATACATTTTGGCCTAAATTTAAATCACAGTTCGTCATACATTTTTTTACTGGACATGTTCAACAGCAAAAAGTCAAAAATTTAGTTTGTGTTTTTTTTTTACAGTGCAAAAAATTAAAAATGCACAGGCGATCAAATACCACCAAAACAAAACTCAATTTGTGGGGAAAAAAAGGATGTTAATTTCATTTGGATACAGCTTTGCATGACAGTGTAATTGTCAAAGTAACGCAGCGCCATAACACAAAAAAATTACCTGGTCAGGAAGGGGGATAAATCCTGTGGAGGGCAAGTGGTTAAAAACTCACCAAAAACTGCACCTCCCAATTGAAATAAATGGAAACCAAAAATTTTTTTATAATGGAGCAGTGTAAAAGGGCCCTAAAAGAGACAGATCTGCAGCAAAAAAAATTAAATTTGTAGATGTGGAGGAGGCTGAAACTTTTTGAACTAAGAATACATACTTCATTTGAAGTTTAATGTCCCTTTGACACAAATTTGTTTCTTTTTCCTAAATGGGAACGTAAAAATGCCAAAAAACACAGAATGATTGACAAGAGGCTGCAGTGCCCTTGATGCAGTGTACCAACAGAAAGATGCTCATTGCAGAAGTTCCATTGTGGAGCTAAAGTTGGGATTAATCTAACTGTACACCCCAATTTTCGGGGCTCCTTGGATGGAAGATATCTGATGACATATGCAGGGACCCCTATGTACCTGTGTTTCCTTCCTCCTAACCATTTAATGGGTTTAATAGACATGCTTCCTGAATGGCTCCTAGGTTCCACTTGCTGTCTGAAGTCCTTTTTAAGTCTTGTTCCTTTCCGAATAGGTTGTAAGCAGAGCACTTTAGCAATTATGACCTGGGGGACATGTGGATCCAACCCAAACACTGGCCTATTCTGTGTGTATATACAGCACAGATTTGTGTATACATAGCCCGTGCTTTTACTGCGAGGAACAGAGGAACTCCCCTTCTCGTGTTTATACGAATCTGTTTATATAACGTCTCACTTGTCGGTCTGACGCTCCAACAGGGAAAGTGGAGAAGGCACACTCCATGTATAAAACGTGCTCCTAATTACCATGCAGCAGGAAAGCTTCAGCTCCACAGACAGGCCTGACTTCTGGCTGGGACGTTTGTTGGCTCAGTTGCAGAGCTCAGGGCTACATGGGAAATTTGAGACGAGACGCACAGTAAAAAGTCGCAGCTGCTGCAGATCCTCTGATGAACTACTGTCAATGGGCAGTTTACTGAAATGACTTTCAGCAGGACTTAAAATGGGACTCTAGACAAAACCTCTCTCTGTTAGACCCCTTTTGCTCCTGTATGATTCAATAAGGTGCGTCATGTCGTGTGTGAACATCAGTTCAATTAAGCTGCCCATTTATTAGAATAGGCCCTGGAAGCACCAACGCAGCACACAGTGGTACATTACTGTGCATTGGAGTGCCCTACAATGCCGGTGTGTTAGTTTAGTGCAGAGGTCTCCCAAACTATGGCCCTCCAGCTGTTGAAATACTACAAGTACCATCATGCCTCTGGCTCAGGGAATCTTGCCTGTGGCTATCAGAGTCTTACAAGGCCTCATGGGACTTTCAGTTCCTCACCACATGGAGGGCCATAGTTTGGAGAATCCTGGTTTAGTGCATTGGAAAGTAATTCAAAATGAATAGAACTGCAGCACACCACATTAAAACAGATACAGTATGTATGTAGCCACCCTAGATCTTGGATAGAGAGGGGAGGGGTTAGAACTTGTTTCAGGTTTAAAGTGCCTTCAATTCCAATGAAATTGAGGCCATGGGGGGGTTATTTACTTAAACTGCATGGTGAAAAATCTGGTGCAGCTCTGCATAAAAACCAATCAGCTTCCAGGTTTTATTGTCAAAGCTTCATTGAACAATCTGAAGTTAGAAGCTGATTGGCTACCGTGCACAGATGTACTAGATTCTGAGTGCTCCACTTTAGTAAATCAACCCCTACAATAGTGTTGGGCTTTGTGTCCATCTTGCCCATCATGGGAATGTCCTGCAGAAAGAATAGCATTTTAAAATGTTGTCTGTGTCCCTGTAGGGGTGAATTTTTTCTCACTTCAAGTCCCAATGACCAAGTGTCTGCAGGGCAGGAAGAGCATAAATACCAACTGTCCCAGATTTTCCAGAATCAGAGTTTTAGATCTATTGATGCTGTGTCCCTGGCAATGTCCAGGGATCACGGTGTTCCCCTTATTTTAGTGCATCCTGTTAAATTCAATAAAACATTCATTACAGTGATCAGTGGCCATGACTGGGTGGTCACCACATAGGGGCAGGGTTTGGGCAGACCATTGCGGTAAATAAGTTTGGTCTGGGAAGGACTACCCAATCGCTGGGTGAGCCTAGGGTGGACTGTGGGCTGCGTTATCTGCAGGGCCGGATCTAGCCTGTCTGATGTGAGGGTGCAGTAAAAAAAATGTCATGGGGGCAGATGATGGGAGGTGGGTAGGATGGAGGACAGGGGCACAGTTCCTTCTCTCATCCCTGTACTGCACACAGCCTGGGCACAGGCAGCAGAGCTCCTCCTGTTCACTCAGCACATAACTGAGATCAGTATAGTGTCAGTCAAGGGCAGTATAGTGTCAAACTAGAGCGTTGAAGTATCAGATTAGGGTGGTATAGTGGTAGGTTAGGGTAGTATAGTCGCAGGTTAGGGTTGGCTTTGGGGGGGCACAACTAACATTTGGGGGGGGATTGTCCACCTCAGCACCCTCCTAGATCCAGAATAAAGAAAAAAATATTCCTGCGCCAATACAAATTGAATGAATCACCCTTCTAAATTGCTGCTGTACAAAAATGTGAATACACAAACAGTGAAATATATAAATAAACAGCGCAAAATAGATACTAATAAATCACAAAATATCAAAATCCCATATCACTTAGTGCATATTTGTATCAAAGGAATCTTCAAATAAAAAACTCCATAAAGTCCCTTGTGGTAAAAAATAAAGACCTCCAAATGAAATTTCTAGCCTTCCACCTTTCACCCGTGCACACCAACATCAAATGCACTCACCAGATTTTGGTGAATGTAAAGCCTTTAGGAATTTTATAGGGAATCCCTAGCCCTCTTTTCATCCGCTCAATGTTAGCCTCCCCAAGATAAGATCCTCTTTCAGGTCCTCACCGTGGCCTCCTCGCTTGCTCCATCGTATTGTCAAAGAAGAAAGCTTACATAGTGTAATATTGCCAAGATCAAAACTATACCATAATGAACAGACTCCAGGCCACTCACATTTCAATAGCTCATAAAAAGGCACATTTATTAGGCCCAAAACAGCCTAATGATCACAGCTAGCACATACTCCAGGGTTCCCACATCAATGCAGTCAGATGAGGCAGAGACACAGCAAAGAACCAGCCTAAATCCCGCAAAATGGCCGCTGGAACGCACCGCTCGGCGTGCGCTCCACTCACCGGAAGTGACGCCAGACGTATGACAAATGGACCGGAAATGCGTCAACGCGTTTCGCCCCTCCCATCGGGCGTTCTCAAGATTTGAACCCTCCTAGATCCGGCCATGATTATCTGTGTCCCGGGGACGGGGACCGAATGTTTGGGGGTATGGAAGTGAGGAGCACCTTTCCCATTGTATTAAAAAACTGTTATTGCTTTATAATACTAACTGGGAATTGCAAACCCTCTTGAATTAACACTCTCTACTCCTCCATCACAGATTCAATAGATTGTTTTCTCCAAATGGACTTTTCCCACTAAAGCAAGAGATAGCTGACTCTTTTGTAAGAGTGCACGCTGAAGGCTTTCATATCTTCCTCTGTATCACTACTTAAGGTGGCCATACATGGTTTGAATTTTAATTCCTGGTGATTTCGTGGAAATTCGAGCTGTGATGGGCCCTTTCAGTTGACTTTTGTTGAAGGAACCGGTTGAAAAATAATTGTCCGAAAGTTGCCTGCATCCAAACAGATAATGGCACTGACCAGATATTCAGCAGCCAGGATTTCTCTATCTACACTGTTTAGTGTGGTTGGAGGAGTCAAATGATTTTTCTCTTTAATCTAGGGAGGTGGATGAGGGAGAGAAATCTACATGTATATGTTCAGCTTTAGTGAGTCCCCTCTCTGCAAATGATATGCAAGTTAGGAGCCCCCACTTTCCTAGCTAAATACTTTTTTAACGAAGACAATAGTGGGTCCCATACTTGTGATTTGAAGGAAAGGTTCCCTATAACATACAAAAATTGGAAGGGCTGTTGTAGCGGTTACAGGAATGCATGTGATGTGCTCAGTCATACTACAGAGCTATATGTGTACAATATATAATATATACAGTATGTTGTTTTCTTTACTATGTTGTTAGTTGTTCTTTTGTATGAATCAAATTGTGATTTCAGAGCTCTCTACCCTGTAATAACATACTGCCGTTGATGTGTATATAAACAGCTACAGTGAATGGAGAGCTTTTAATGTAAATGTCACAAAACAGAAAAAAATTTTTGTATAAATATACAGCTAATAGCAAAATAGCTGAAATTCCTCTAAGTTCACTGATTGCAACTTTTTCTTTTACAGTCATGCATTTTGTATGTGTATGAGGCTCAGGAAATGATGTTCATTTTATGGTTATGCTCCATTTTAAGGTACACAACAGTCAAAAGTGTAAAAGAAAGGCATATCTGCTGACTACTAGGACACACCATGTTCTTCACTTTCCTTGTTACCAGTAGTCTGGTTTTGTGGACACGCTTGTGCCTGATTTCACATTTTATCAGGGTACTACTGATCCCCACAACCACATTACCTGAACCCCACCATCACATTTCCTCTTTTCCTTGGAAGCCATCATCATTCCTTTGACATCACTCTACACTTTCCTCCATTCTCCTTCCTGTTCCAACCAACTGACAGTGCTCTTACATGCTCCCTTCTCTGCTGTCAAAAGGTCCAGTGGTCGGACCTAAAAGCCAATCAGAGATCCTGAATGAATGAATCCACTGGTTAATACAGTTGAGGGGATGTTATGACATTTGGATGACATTGAGTCTTTAAATATCCTTTGAAATGTGCCCATTGGAAAATGTTCATGTTTTGCGTCTTGCCACAAGGACAAATATATCTATCACTAGAACAATTATATCTATGTAAATGGATTGTGGAACATTCTGTATATTTAGCTGCTTTCCATAGATACAGCCATATTTATTTTTCTATTTTCCTCTTATGATGTCTGGAATATAGCACCGACATAGCTCAGAGATATAGATGGTACAAATATACACTGCACTTATTGTTATCGAGAACGTTTGGAAGATTACTTTATTTTTTTAACTTTCTTATGTAGACAATAATTGCAAATGTGAGAAATACTTTGTACTGGTGAACGATCTAATGGCCTTATATGAATGGTCTAATGGTTTTATATTTCCATATTGTGGCAGAGTAAGTAGAGCCATCTGGGAGGCCGTTTTATTGGACTATTCAAAGCTGAATCCATCAGACGGTTGCTCTAGTTACAATACGCCACATAAGGGGCTGAGGCAGGGGAACATTTATGTGCAAAAAGGATTTTTATCTGTCTGGTTTGCCTGAGTGGTCCGGCACCAAGTCTGCATAAGGATTAGTCCATATCGAACACCATACAAGTATTGGAGGCATGTTGGGAGTCCCTATTCCTTAGCTTATGGTCATAAACGGAGAGCTGCTGGAGGGGAGATATTTCCTGAAAGGATGTTCTCCTATATGACCAAAAAGTGTATTTGACCACCTTAATTGGGGTCAAAAGATCTGGTGAGTGAGCAATCTTTACTTTCTCCTGCCGACACGTGGTGAAGATATTTACTTTTTTTGGTTCTGGGCACAGTTTAAAGAAGTTGAAAGGACTTTCACCTTTATTTAAGCACAAATGTAACTGCTGACTTTTATTTACATTTTATTTTATATGTTTTCTGTATAGGTTGTGGGAATATAGCATTTACCCTGATAATCTATCCAATTATAATGGTTCTATTTAGGGGCATTTTACATGTTTATATATAGCGCCTACCTATTTATAGTATACTTAAGCATCAGCCTGAGTCCTGGAGTTGGAGCACCTGCCTCAAAGAATGTTGACACAACTGAAAAAATGACTGTGTTCAAATTCAAAATGATATATATATATCTCATACATACTAGAGGGATGTAACCACATCCCTGAAAATTTGGAATACATCTCCACATACAGTACATGTTAGATTCAATGTGTTCTGTGCCAGGAGACATAAATTATTTCTTTGCAGCACTGCACTCATGTAATCATTGGAGACCACAATTGTTAGATATAGGGGATTTTTTGGAGTGCCTTCTGCCTGAAAAAAAATCTCTTCCTTCCAAATTTTCAGTCTTCTTTGCCTCCAGTAAAATGACAGATGTAGACAGTGTAAATGTACACAATGCAATGCTTGCACTGGCCTGACACTGTGAGGAGAGCTTGAAATAGGACAAGGAGAAATAGATGTCAGAGTGAGGCCTATTAAGGTCATATTTGCAACATTGCCTGGTCTATTTAAAAGTACAATTATTATTTAAGATAAGCCATTCACTGATCTCCTTTGGTTTTGTCTGGAGCTAACCTGTCTAAAGAACATTACCTTGGCTACTGTGGTCATTATAATCTTCATTATTTCTCGCAGAGCTCATCGCAATGACATGGAGAACATCTATCCATTCCTGTTTCTTGGTGCCATCTACTCCTTGTTGGATCCCAACCTGAACATCGCCAGAATTCATTTCCTCATCTTCTTTGTGGGTCGCCTAGTACACACAGTTGCTTATGTGTTTGCCATGAAAGCTCCGACACGTTCACTGGCCTACAGCATCGCTCAGCTTCCCTGCTTCTCTATGGCTCTGCAGATCCTCTACTCTGTTACTTCCTACTGGTAAATGAGAATCCAGTAATCGAATATACTTGGACCATGTGAAAGGTGCCATTTCCTTGCAGTGGCTGGGATGCAGCTCTTTACTGCATCTCCAGACTGTGTACAACTATCGATATTAACAGTATTGATTGACATTTTGTTTCCATAATAGTGTTCATGGTTTCTGAAGAATATTGTATATTGTGCAGAACAATGATGAAGTGTTTTTAGAAACTTTTATTTGCCCTGTTTCTTCAGTGGTGTGTGAGTCCTGTTTTTTTCAATGGTGCACCATTTTGTTGGTGGGCTATTTACTTAAAAGTTCATGATACATACTTTACAGTGGTTGTAAGCTGGAGACATGAAATGTGAACAAAGCATATCCCTCTATAGTGTGTACTTGTCTCAGTCCAGAGCACTAAGTGTAATTTCTCTCTGCTGCTTCATTCCTTTGCTATGAGCATGAATAACTTTGTATAAGTTTTCCTGACACCAAGAGAAAAATTGTGACAGAAGAGGAACCTTCAGTAGATTGACAGCCTTAGCTCTGTTCCTATGGGCTGTTTGGATGGGGGGGTCTCTTCCTTCCAATCAGCTCACAGAGCTCTCCTCAGGGAGTTCTGCAGTGTGTAGATGCAGCTCTCCACCCCCTTTTTTTTTTCTAACCCTCAGACAAGCTGTGTGAATTCAGAAAGTTGAATGGATGTGGAAAAAAACTTCAGATAGACAGGTACAACTTATGTAGTTTGTTTCATCACTTTACTGGGTATATGTAAGGGTTTACAACCACTCTATATTTTGGTGGGGATGTTCATATTCCTGGACCCCTCAGGGGTGGGTTTTCGTGTGGATTCAAATGTGGGAATGGTTGAGTGATTTGCCTGTATTAGTTTTAATAGGTATGATAGCATCGTTGCTTAGGCTTAAAAAGAACCTGCTCCATTTTAATGCTCCCCCACAGCTGCCCTAAGGCTAAGGTTGCGATTTGGGAGCTTACACAGCACTAACAGACTCTCCCCCGGCTTCCACTAGGTGCCTAAGCAGCCAATCAGCAAGCACCAGGGTTGTTAGATGGAAGTAAGTGACATACCCCTCGTACTCAGTAGCACTGGCTGTGTTGCTTTGCTTCTCAAGGCCTACAGAGCATTGGGAAAGCAGAAGAAAGGCGAATATAAGAAGCTGGGGGGGCCAAAGAATAAATTGAGCCTGTTACTATGCTATACATAAGCAAAGCACAGGTTCACATTGTTAAAGCTGGCCATCACCAGCCCAAAAATAGCATCAGCATTTCTGATTTCAAGCATTGCTTGCAAAAATTAGGCTGCTAGAAAGCAAAGATTGAGTCTTTAGGGGACAGGAAATTTCCCTGCTAACTGTTCTCACAAAAATATATGCCAGTCTATAGCCTCAGGCAGGTTACTCTGGGGAACTTCAGGCATCTGTTAGAAGCACTGCTGTGTCTCAGGATTATTCAGGGCTAGATTTGAATGTCCCCCCAAGCAACATTTATTCTGCTGCCCTCCTGTGGCCACAGACTTCCAAATGCCTCATATACAGCGTAATACACATTTCCTATTTCATTCTTATTATTCATCTTTAAGAAGACTTTCATGAGAAAGTGTGTGAAATATGCAATTAAAGGAGAAGTCTCCTTCTACCTTCAGGCCCTTCAGTATGACTCACTTCACAATGTACACAATACTCTGCTCCTGGGCTTTTCTAGATAAATTTTGCAAGAGTTGGCTTAGCTGTCAGGTGCTTTAAATCAGAAAGGTAAAGAGAAGCCAAGAAGTGGAAATGTCACGTATGTGGTAGAGATCAAGCTAAAGAGGGAGCTTCTCTTGCACCTACCTGGTAGTGGTGACAGGAGGTTTGGGGACAGCTGTTGGCTGCAGGATCCAGATGACCATGGATCACCAGACAGGGACCAGAGACCAGTATATGGTGACACTTGATCAGCGAACAGGAGCAAAGCCAAAAGGTCTCAGTAAGGTACAGGAACATCAGGCAGAAGCAGAGTCAGGATACAAGCCGGGGTCAGTTTACATCCGGTTAACAAGGTATGGGAACATGAGGCAGAAGTGGAGTCAGGGTACAGACCAAGGTCACAACAGATAGGCAGAAATCAAAAGACAGGTCAGAGGTGAACCAGCTCATGCACAAGAAGGCTATATATCAGGTCAGGGCACAGGTAATGCATAAACTAGCTGAAGACCACTCAGCAATCTGAGCTTAAACAGGCCCATTTGGCACCAATTACAGTGCTGGGCATGCATGCAATAGTCTTCTTGTTCCGATGCGTACTAGGCTTTTCATACAGGAATTTTCTTTATCTTATGGGGTATGTTGGACTCAGATTGTCAGTGGTCCAATTGGCAGAGGCACCCATTGTCATATGTCAAAGGATAGGTCAGAGTCATCAAGTTTCTATTTCACCAAAAAAAGTGTTTCCTGGCTACAAAGTGCCACTTCCTCAGTTCAGGGTGATGTACTGATGTTGGAGAGGATGCAATGATGTCATCAGGTCAAGCTGGATCTGATGAGATCATCACATCCTCTATGCTGACCTATCCTTAGACATATTACAACAGATGCCTCTTCCGATTGGATCTCCAAAGGGATTTTTTTCAAAGCCTATTGTAATTTGCCAGTTTCACACACCTGCTTGAGCGCTCCATAGAGATCCAGGATTGAGAGCCCTGCGGCATCAAGAGTGGCCAACCAAATCTTGCATAGAGACAGGGTTTTCTCCACCTACATACTTGGAAGGTTGCAGGTTTCCATTTGGCAGGGTGACCACGGCCTCAATAGATGTAAGTTATTTTCTTATGTCCTTTTCCTATTGATAAACCTTTTGGGCCAACTTACAACACTATATTGGTTCTCTTGCCTCCCTCTTTTCTTTTCCGGTGGACTATCTGAGCTGCACCAGAGACTGTTAGCCTGCCCCTTGGGACCGTACCACTTAGCTCTTCGTGCACCACCACATTCTATGTCTTATTAAACTTCATGTTAGAACACAAATATGATTCAGAGTTCAGTAAGTAAAGTTTTACATATCTCCAAAGCATTTCATAGATTTCCAAGAGAACAGACTTAAGGCTTAATTCACAAAGCTTTAACACAAGGTTTGGTATTTTTCTTTTAGACATGTGACTGTCATTTTCAAATATCATTGGACCCAACTGAAAATAACCATCAATTTTATCAAAATAACTATGCTTATCCTGGTGTGTCAGCTTTGTAAACCTTTGGTATCATTTGTATCACATCTACACTACTGCTAACTGGCTGAATATATGTTTGTTAAGGTGTCAATACAGAGAGTAGTGCTGATCTTTCTTATTAAAGCTATGTATTTGCATACTGCTCCTGTGAAGGAAGACCTAAATGGCATTGTGCTTCTAGGAGGGCAGGAAAAGGGATAAGTCCCTTTTCTGAGTCATTCTGCTGACTCAAAAATGTGTTTTCTGAGGTCCTGTTAATAAATCTGTGCAGCTTGTAGAAAACAGGAAACCAGGAACCTTGGAGTACCAGACTCAAACACAATCTGTTCTAGATGGAAGCAATAAATATGAAATATTCATACTAAGCTAAAAAGGCAAAACAAGTCATACTAATAGGTGAGCTATAATCGTATCCAACAAACATTGCAGCTGTAAATAGTAAGTTCACTCACTTTACCTTAATCCAGCTCTATATAAATGGCAGCAAGAACCTAGATAGCACCTCCAAAAGGTCATTGGCAGTGTACTTCCTGTGCTGTTTAAATTTCTCTCTTTTGTCACTATTCACATTCAGGCTTTAATGCCAGGTTTAAATATGATTGGGTGCTGTAAGAAACTAAACGTATATTGCTTTTAAATCAGTTTTTTTTTTCAATATAAAAAAGCAATATTGGGCATAAGAGCCTGCAGTGGGTGTGTTTAGGAATTCCTGCCTTACATCATATGCAGAGGTGTTCCCAGATTGTATTGCTAAAGTGTCAAAGTTAAAGGACAACTCTACCCACTACTACAGTCATGAATAATCTCAGTGATGGGTCACACTCTCTCATTGACTATACGGTTATGTTGAAAAAGTAGGTAACTGGGGAATCCTGAGATAGCAACGCATTTCTTATGGGCTGGTGGCACAAATTTCCTCACTTCAGTCTAAAAGAGCCAAACTCAAATGTAAATTAATACACTGATCTCCATTCAGCATTATCATTTTTGGGTGGAGTTGGCCCTTTAAAACACAAATTGGTAACCTTATCCGGATTTTTTCACAGTGTCCATAGACTATCCACTGAAATAGCTCAGGCCTCATGCACACAGGGCATTTTTGCAGACACTTGTAGGGGCGTCAAGTGTTTTTTTTTTTTTTTTTACTGCTTCCAAACGGCCCTCCAGGTTATCCTATGTGTCCATGCACACATACACTTTTAGAGACCTTTAGAAGAAGTAGCGTTTATAAGCAGGAAAAAATAAACCCAGGGCCAGTGCGTCCAGAAACAGCAGCGTTTTGGCAGAAAAAAACGCTGGATGCGGCTAAACTTACATAAACGCGTCTAAACGCTAGTCGCTTTTAGCACTTGATCGTTAATTAATTTCAATGGCCAGAATAAATTACCATTCTGACCAATCAAATGAATCAAAGTCCAAGCGCTTGATGCTTGCAAACATGCCTAAACGCTTGTAAAAGCGTTATATACTTTTACAAGCGTCAGGCGTTTTTTCTGCAAAAATGCTGCTGCCAGGAAGACAGCTTCTAGAAGAGTTTTTTTAATGTTCTGTGTGCATGAGGCCTAGGAGTTGCAGTACTAGTTGAATTCTGAGTTTTTGTTTGATGAAAAAAGACTTCCTTTACCCAGAAAGCAAATTTTTCTGTGTGCATGTGCAGTACCACATATGGCCACTAAGTGACAGCACAGGCACATCAACTGCTATATCACAGAGAAATCCTGCAAACTATTCACAGTTCAGATGCTCAAAAGCACAAAATTAATGTTTGAAAATTGATATGTAACATTCACATAATGCATTATGACACTGTTATGAGTGTAAAATAGTGGATCATTGCAGCCAAAGAAAATTCATTATTTTTCCTTAAAATATTTCCAATTTTATCCTATAAATTTTAAGCTGTGCCCTACAATTTCCATTTTGGATAGGAACATACTAATTGTTTTCCCGCAAAGGCTTGTAGAATGTGAACCAATAGGATCTGAAGCCTGTTCATATCTTTTAGGGATGAGTCACACCAGAACACAGTGCTCAGCAGTGCCTTGTGGCACACTGCATTAAAAAGCCCATTGAAAATGAATACTTTTCTTTCCACTTTAATATTGAGTAAGTAAAACTTGTCTTCAGTGAAATGCTTAAACTTCAGACCTTCTTTTGAAAACACTAGTTGCCTGGATGTCTCTGATTTTAACCCTTTAAGTCATTGACCTGGAGCAAGTATGTAGCAAGTGCAGTCAGGTCACCTGACCTGCCTAGGTGCTCCAGATCATGATATACACTATATTGCCAAAGTATTGGTCAGCCTGCCTTTACACACACATGAACTTTAATGGCATCCCAGTCTTAGTCTGTAAGGTTCAATATTGAGTTGGCCCGCCCTTTGCAGCTATAGCAGCTTCAACTCTTCTGGGAAGGCTATCCACAAGGTTTAGGAGTGTGTCTATGGGAAGGTTTGACCATTCTTCCAGAAGTGCATTTGTGAGGTCAGGCACTGACGTTGGATGAGAAGGCCTGGTTCGCGTCTCAGCTCTAATTCACCCCAAAGGTGTTCTATCGGGTTGAGGTCAGGACTCTGTGCAGACCAGTCACGTTCCTCCACCCCAAACTCACTCATCCATGTCTTTATGGACCTTGCTTTGTGCACTGGTGTGCAGTCATGTTGGAACAGGAAGGGGCCATCCCCAAACTGTTCCCACAAAGTTGGGAGCATGAAACTGTCCAAAATGTCTTGGTATACTGGTACCTTAAGAGTTCCCTTCACTGGAACTAAGGGGTCAAGCCCAAAACCTGAAATACAACCTCACACCATAATCTCTCCTCCACCAAACTTTACACTTGGCAAAATGCAGTCAGGCAAGTACTGTTCTCCTGGCAACTGCCAAACCCCAGACATTTCTATCGGATTGCAAGACAGAGAAGCGTGATTCATCACTACAGAGAACACATCTCCACTGCTCTAGAGTCCAGTGGCGGCGTGCTTTACACCACTGCATCCGAAACTTTGCATCGCACTTGGTGATGTAAGGCTTGGATGCAGCTGCTCGGCCATGGAAACCCCTTCCATGAAGCTTTCTACACACTGTTGTTGTGCTAGTCTGAAGAACACATGGAGTTTGGAGGTTTTTAGCTATTGACTTTGCAGAGAGTTGGCGACTTCTGCACACTGTGCACTCCAGCATGCGCTGACCCCGCTCTGTCATTTTATGTGGCCTATCACTTCATGGCTGAGTTACTGTTGTTCCCAGTTGCTTCCACTTTGTTATAATACCATTAACAGTTGACCATGGAATATTTAGTAGCAAGGAAATGTCACGGATGGACTTATTGCACAGGTGGCAATCTATCACGGGACCACACCTGAATTCACTGAGCTCCTGAGAGCGACCCATTCTTTCACAAATGTTTGTAGAAGTAGTCTGCATGCCTAGGTAGTTGATTTTATACACATGTGGCCATGGGGGTGATTGGAACACCTGAATCTAATGATTTGGAGGGTTGTTCCAATACTTTTGGCAATACAGTGTAGGCAGGGTATACACACATAGCTTTTTTTTTTTTTTTCGTTAAGTCAAGGGGTTGCACAAAAAAAAACCTCACAGATTCCTACATCCACACCTTTTATGATCTCTCCCATTGTGCTATTGCATTCTGACAGGAGGACTCCCCTCCATAAGAATACACAGATCAGTGCTGCAGTGGCTGATGAAATGTTGGTTTTCCAGCAGGACCATTCGACAGAAGCTGGTTGCTAGACTGACTTCTGTTGAAAGACAACGAAACACACATACCAAAATTTGTCCAGTTCCTGCTGAATTGGTTTGTGCATACCCAGATTTAGAAATTATTAAAGCCAGATATTCAGCTATGTATAAAAGCATTTTCCTAGGGAATTTAGCAATGGCAACCTACATATAGCTTGTAGGGAGGTGCAGTTTGTTTTTTCCACTGTAGGTGGTGCATGACTGGAACGGTACTGCAGCTGGAGAGGAAGTCAAGAGAAACTTGGTTTCTGTATGGTTTTCTTAGTCCCCAGGAGCAGTGTTCCTGTTGGCTACTGTGCATTCAGGTGATCCTAGCAGCCATCTTGGGTCAAGCAGAGCCTTTTTAGGTCCCTGCCCCCAGGTTTTGGCACGTATTTGTGATGTGGCTAGTGAAGGGAGAGATAACCCGGCTGTCAGGGACAGTACTAATGGTAGGAAAACGTTCCGTAGGAGTAGGGTATAGATACCTATACTTCTGCAAGCTCCCTCTTGGGTTGGACTGGCCATGCCGCACTCCACCTCCCTCACTTGTCTTCAGCTGGGGCTTACTGCTGCTGACTCTCAGCTGCATTGACTATGAGTTCCCGAACGGGTGTTCTCCCCACCGGGTTTTTGTAACTGTTCTGCAAGTTCTACAATACATTCAGGACATCCGTGTCATTACTGTTACCACACTAAGCTGCACTTAGCCCACAAGCTAGTAGTAGTTGTCATACAGCATTACAGAACCGTATAAATATGACTATTTCACCAAACATCTAAGTAGCTGTAGTAAGTGTCAAGAACACAGCCCAGTATTTACAGCCATTTGTGTAACTCAGCCACTTTAATCATCATGGCATGTGTCAAGGCAGATGTTGATTGTCCAAGAACAAAATGGGAGGTGTGAACATTTGTGAAATTACACTCCCATTACCCATCTCCCATCATGCTCTTGGACAACTAAATCTGCCTTGACATTCCATGGTGATTGGATTATGATGACCGAGCATGTTCCTGACACTCAGAGTTGAAGAAGGTAGTGGATGAGCCATGAAATGTCTTCAACATTGCAGAAGAAGCCCAGTTGAAAGTGACTACCCCTACTAGGTACACTATGACCTGGATAGATGAGAACCTTTATAGACAGCCTACATGTATCTTCTGCACAACATTTCATGTAAACTGCAATAATCTGTGTATACATAAAGAATTAGTATGGGTATTTTTTCTCTGAAGTTAATGTTTTTATCTGTAGGAAAAAATACATTATTTTTATATGTACTGTATTTTACAGAAATGAAGAAATAAAATGTTTAAATGAATTATTAATGTTCTGAGCTTTAAATCCCTGCAGCTTTCTCATTGTGGGGATAGTGAAAACACTTACGGGACCTTAAGACATGCTAAAGTGACCTTGAAGTCAGTATTGTTAGTTTGTCCAGGCAAGCTAAAAAGTACCATCAGCATGGTAGACTGTTATTTATCATCCAAGAGTTGAGGCAGAAGACAGCTCAGCCTCCATGGGGCCCTACAGCCTGGCATTAAGCTGACATGTCTGCTATGACAGGGAGAGAATACTTGTGAATAACACCCCACACATCTATCTATGATGGGTAAGACTACACAACTTCATACTGGGCATTTAGATTCTTGCAAATGCCCAATTATGATAGGCCCTCTTCACCAAATTAACCAAATTATTGATGCATGTTGCTTTCACAAGGCCTCAAACATTTGCCTCCATGTCTGTTAAGTGATGATGCACTCCCTAAAGCAGCAGGCAATCTGCTAAATATGTACATATGCGCACATATGTCTTTGAGCTTTTTTACAGTACAGTACAAAACATTTTTCTCTCATGAGTCATGATCATTCATGTTATTCCTTTAATATGTTACTATAATTATTCATTATTTTTTGGTGCAAAAAATACACATTTGAGTTTTTCTTTTGATCAGGTAAATATGAAACATTGCATGTGAATACTTCAAATGTCAGCTGGAGCTTTGTACAAGGTCTATTCTCTCTGGAAAGTCTGTTCTTTTTTTGTGGACCTGCTGCCCTAAAAATAGACTTGAGTCAGAGGATGGGCACGCACCTTTAATGACAACGAATGGGCTAACATTGTCTGCTTGAAAACACAAAAGAAATGCTGGGCTTTCTGATTAGTAAGCCCAACATATATTGTAAACATAACGCCATGTGTACACATTATCTGTTTGTCAAATAAACATGTTAATCAGATGACTAAAATGAAACTCTGACCAAAACGTTTTTTTTCCAAGCTTTGAATAAAGTAGGGAATCCCAATCCACTGAAATAAATTGGTTTATCACCCTGTGAATATTTAAAAGTTTTTAAACTAAACCTAATAGTTGAACAACTCTTTGTATGGGAGCTTCTATACCCTACATATACATTAACACTTGCCACTAGATCCTGTCCCTATTGAGTTTATAGACATTTTAGCCATGAACATTTCAGTCATGTTAGGTGACTCAGAACTCAGGAGTCGCAAGCATGCTCCCATGCCCTTCCCTCCACAGTCCATCTCTAAATTTCTGTGTGGATACATTTGTTTCTGCACGGTCATCAGAGGATGAGGAGCAATGAACCCTATCCTTGTTTAAGATCTCTCAGTCTGCAGACATACTGTAATTCCTAAACTTCAGAATACGCTTTCAGTCCTTACTGATGTACTGCACTCTATACATGCTCAAACATGGAACTGCCTGTGTCAGTTATACCTAATGTTACCAGCCTGGGCTCTCTTAAAAGCCCCCAAGACATTTTCAATAAACGCACTACTGCAACTTGTTTTGTATGGAGATTGACCAAATCTGGATAACATCTTTACTCTCAAGGTTTTCACCCAGCAATATCCTACCGAGGAGAGTTTCTAAAAAAGTAGGCCATTCTTCCCATAGTAGACCTGGCCATATCCTCTCTTAGCAAGACTGACTGTCTGTGTGGAAAAAAATAAACAGTGTTTAAAAAACCCAGTAGATAAAAGAATAGAAGACCTTTCTAGAGCCTTATTCTCCCTTGCTAGCTTTGCCTTGCAACCTGCCATTGTAGTCCAGTCCCTTCTCCAGACCTTGGGCGTCTGGTCCAAGCATGTGTCTCGCGATCCTAGCTATAACAAATATCTAACAGATCCTTCTGTCCTCCAACAGTTGGAACTCAGGCCCGTGTCCCTACTCTGTTGTGTTGATGGGCTAGCAGATATTATATGCCTAGACAACTTTATCAAGAGCATCACTCCAGGAAAGTGTACACTTTTACCCTAAACCTCAGTCTGGGAAACCACCTCATTCTGAATTTAAGGACAGTCGCTTTCATTTCTTCCAGACTTCCAAGTCCAAGGTGTAGCATGGGACTCAGTTTCGACAAGGGTCCCAGACTCTAAAGTCCTCCAAACCTGAAGCTCACTTCTCAAAGTGGGGGGACGTCTGTTGTCTTTGCGGGCAACCTGGATCACGGACATTACAGACAGTTGGATCCAGAATGTGGTATCCAGGGGCTACAAGCTAGAATTGAAATCTCTGCCTTCATCTTGCTTCATGTTCTAAAAACTTCCAAAGTCCCTGCAAAGACTAGCAGATCCCAAGGGGTAATTTTCTTGTTCTTTTAATATTCAGGCTTTCTACTCAAACCTGCTCAAAGGTTTTTTTTTTTTTTGTTTTGTTTTTTTGGTAAAATTAGTTAACATTTCCCAAAAGCAAAAGGGGCCTTTACCCAATACTGGATCTAAAGGTTTGCAACACCTTTCTTTGTCACACAAATTCTACAAGGAGCAGTCATTGCTTCCCACCATCTTTAGGCCTCTGTGGACATCAAGGACACCTACTTGCATATCTCAATATTTTCAGCACATCAGCGTTACCCACATGTTGCTGAGGGTACACATTATTCATTTGTTGATTATGCCCTTCAACAAATTGATAATGTACCTGCACCTTGAGTCCTCACCAAGATCCTGGTCCCTATCTTTTCTCTTTTTTTGTTCTCAGGGCATTACCATAGTGGGATACCTGGACAGTTTTCTTCTGATAAAGTCTGTCCTAAAGAATGGTGCTAAAGAATTTATCAGCCAATGACAAATGGACTGTTCAGGTTTTACAGAAGTTTGGATGGATCCTGGCCTTCCAATAGTCAGTACTGGAAACATTTAATTGCTTGGAGTATCCAGGCATTGTCCTGGATACTGCCCTGTCCAGGGTTTTCCTTCCCCAGGAAAAACTCTATACACACCACTCCCCAGGTAAAGCATCTGCACTTTTGCATAAACATTTTGGTTTTATTGGTGGTCTCTTTCAAAGAAGTTCCATATACTTAATTTCACTCTAGATCAATGCGACTCAACATTCTGGCTGTGTGGGACAACATGATTCAGTCTCTAGATCACCACATCTGCCTGACCCCTAAGACTAGGCTTGCTCTGGCCTAGTGGCTCACAAGTCAAACCCTGGAGACAATGAGATCCTGGAGGGTTCTCACAATATGTTCCAGCTTTCTGGTTTTTGAGGAGTTCTTGAAACTCTTTCAGTTCAAGGGACTAGATTGCGAATCTTATCTCCTGATAAATATTTTGGTGCTCAGAGCGATGGTCATCTGGCAAATATGGCTTACATGAGCAATTAGGGAAAAAAAATCAGAAGTGTCATATCTAATAGAGAAACAGATCAGTTTCTGGCTAGGGCAGAATATTACATTCCAGCCCTGTCCGCTGGGAACATCTCAGGCATAGAAATTGGCAGGCAGATGTCCTCAGCCAACAACATCTGGATCTTCACCCAGAGGTTTTTCAAGACTTCGGTTGCAGGTGGGGAATTCCAGAAATGGACCCCT